ATCAGAAAAGGGAAAGGAATTTGATTTTAATTAAAGTGTAAACATTTTGAGGGCAAAATGAGTAATATCGGCAACCCTGGTATTGACACAGATTCACAGAACTAAAAGTTCCGTTATCACAAAGGACGCCGAACTACTGCACATGCGCGCTACTTGTTCATGTCAGTTACTATAGCATCCAAAATTGTTATCATTCTCCGTAATTTTTAGTTCTGTGGCCGGAACACGCTCAGAGCTGATTGGTATATGCGCACGTTGCTGCCGTATCTTCCTCTTGATGGCTCGTCTATCTCTGGACGCTGGATGTCCAAGCTAAGAAGGACGACCGATGGTAATAATGTTTAGGTGTGATGGTGAGATGCTGTCAAGCACCTGTGGATATGCTGAGAAATACTGCCAAACAGGCCATGAACGTGAGGAGAGACTATCGCGCTACAACAACTGTACATTGTTCATTGTGTTCGTCTGCAGGCATTAACTAACCTCAGGAGCGTATCATTAGAAATTAGTTAGTACATTTTTAGCAAGTATAGTCTAATTAGTACTTTTGAAGAGAACTTATGAGCCGGGAGCCTAGGGGGATGAAGATAAAGATCAGTTTGGCAAGCCATTGATAGGTGGGGATCGCCAGATTCTTCGAATAATTTTGCGAAGAATTTCGAATTTTTCAAAAGACCATTTTCACTTGTTTGCTTTACGTTCCATCACCAGGACCACTAGACCTATACTGGCACTGATGAGCTAATGATCACAAAATTTCACCTACTTCCGCATACATTTCGAATATGTTTACTATTTTGAAAATTTCCATTATAAACATGTGAAGACGAATGTTACAGCCTATGTTGAAATGCAAATGTTATATCCTCCCTTGAACGTTATTGTTTGTCTACAATCCAAGGAGTGGTCGTTCCTCTAGCGGCACTTAATCATCAAGGAACGTCTATGAATCGGTCCCTATGACAATGATTTAAATTTTCTTACACGTAGTACTGCTATCATAGTCAATATATACTAAAACATTCGGGCCTGAAACTATACCAATGAAAAATGTTAAGACGAAAAAATGGCGTGAAGTAGGTTAACTCTGCACTTCCTGCGCAACGCCGTTATGCGTTCATGAAAGATTAGCTTCAGCACAATTTAGATCCTTTAACAATATAGTCAGTTTCGAACATGTACAACAGAGAAATGAAACGGATAAGTCAAACAAGCCCATAAAATTAGTCCATAGACATTCTTTCTCTGCCCTATCAGTAGTTACTGTCCATCTGGCAATGTTATCTGTTTCCACATCTGCACGGCAGCGCCCAGCGTGGCATCGCTGCAGCGATATATCGTTCATTTCTTGGATGGTCCGTATAAATATTTCTTTTGCGGTACAGTAAGAAAAGATCAATCAGAGCGACCGATTTACCGGGCGGTGAGCTTAGACAGCAGCGGTACGCAGATCGAAAAAGTTCCTCTATCGTAAGTTTCAAAGGCGGGGAAATATATGATGTGTGAATTATGGCTGATTGATGCATAGAATTATCTGGATTGAGAGCGTGTAAATATACTATTAAAAGATTAAAAAATTTTCATATACCATACACCTACTACAACCCCCAACCCTCGAATTTCAACGCCTATAAAAAGTTTTCTGATAATGATCAGAGTCCTCTGAAACGTCAAAAAACGAAGTTCGAGCATTTTTTTTCGTTTTTGGCTTTTTTCTCCGCTGTCACTGTACAGATTTTCAAAACCTACAAAGCTTTTTCATCATAATCCGAGCGGTACTTCTTAAGTTATATACGGGCCAAGGATTAGCAGACAGACAGACAGACTAATGGAAATAAGTAACATAGTTTTTCGCGATGTACAACATTTAACATCTAAACACAAAATATCTCATTTTAGTAAGAAGAAGAACATGGTTTTCTTTGCCACAGACTTTCTTGGAATATCTATTACATTTTTGAATAAGGCATTCAATTTTATATGAATCGCCTCTCTTCTTTAATTTTGGAGAAGAGTTGGTGGGAATATTTGGGGTAATATCAGTATAAAAAACTTGTCCATGTATTAGGGAATTAAACCTTACTGACCATAACGCTATTTCAACAGTGTCCATGCTTTGTCCTTATTGTGTCTCATTACTGGCGCAGAAATTTGCAACACCCTGTAATGTGACATTTCTATTAATTGTAGTCAAACGCAAGGAATGGAAACAATCTATTTCAGCTACTGAAAACGCAATTTTGCCTGGGTAGAGAACTCCATTCTTCTACGGCTCTAGCTCAGATTCCAGAACAACTGGTGAATAATACTGCATATTTACGATTCTATAAAATTAGACAACGCCCTTTGAATCGTGAATACAACGTTGCCCGACTGCTTCCAATTATCTAATTTCATTACAGTGATAGAGCATATCTGGCCATATTGAGGCATATCCTGTGTCGCTGCTATATTATGTGTATAATTTAACACCCCTTATTTTTTTCACGGACTATTAACTGACAAGGCGCAGCGAGCATTTCATCATCTATTAAATTGGGTGCAACAAAGAGTGTAGTATTCGAAGACTGCTGTTGAGCTGTTGTCCAATAAAAAACGATTTATTGTTTGCCAGAGAAAAAAATATGCGTGGAAGAGACAATGGCAGATAGCATTCATATCGATTGCATTACATTAATGAAATGAGAATGAATTGTTATGTTGAACTCTCCTCAAACGTTCGGCTTCCTGTGACATGTGGAGCGATGCCATTTTTACTTCCCACGCTGTAAAGCTCTAGAGTACCCCTACCTGTTTCTATGTAAGGATACCTCAATCGTTCTCTCACAACTTGCTTATTATTGTAGATATAAAATATATGGAAGATAACGGCTGAATGAATACTAAATGATTTGGATTCTTCTGAAGAAACGTCTTTCTAGACCAATTCCTTAATTAAAAAATAATGTATAAAGCCTCTAATTTTGTGTAAAAGGTGACAAAAAGTTTATTTGTAGCAAACTATGTTTTTCACAAGAGTTCCAAAAGTGATTCTTCTCTTCACCGATACCTCATCTATCGTATGTGCTTCCTTGTTTATATCTAAAAAACAATCAAATCATCTAAGCGCTGAGCATTTTTTTTATTGAACATATCTTCTTCCTATCGTGGATTAGGCTCACGCCTCTATCGATTTTACAGAGTTGTTATGACCTTTTTTTCTTGGTCTTCCGAAATCAATATTTGAACAAGTCCTTATCCTTTCTATAAGCAATTGATTGCTTTCCTTTTTGAGGTCCACTGGTAGATGCTCTTCAGTTCTTTCTTATTAAAAGCTCCTTCGACTACACCAGTGACGTCTGTTATGGACATGTATCCTGAGTCTACATTTTTTTATCGAATGCAGTGTGGGCAGTTCGCCATTTGATATCTGAAGTATCGGTTATATTGTCATTGAAAGCAAATATCTCATTTACCTAGCAAAAGATTAATTTTATGTTTCACATCGAGTGACTTTGGTGCGGTTTTTGGTGCCTCAGCGTTACTGTGTAATTTTTTCCGAAAATGAACATGAGCTGGTGAGCGTAACCATTAATGCTTAACTTTGAATAGTTTTATGGCGTGATCACGTTCTGAGCAAATTGGCTAATTTTAAGATGAACTATCACTTCGTCTTGGCAGACTAGACATAGTTTTCTTAAGGGGGATTCCAAATATATTGTGAAAGCGTTTGAGCTTGTTTATTCATTCAAAAATTGGGAAGTTTGGAATTGGGATGCTTAGATTGTAATAGATCCAAGAAAGAGTCCTTCTTTCACATTACGATATGTGCCACAAATCCTGTTTATCGTTTTTTCAAACTTGTAAATGGTAGCCTCAAACATTTTAACGTTTTTAAAGCTTTATGTTTATTTGGCGATGGATTACAGTAAACGTTACTTTGCTTCTTAAATGCAGGAAAATCAGTCCTTGGCGATTTCTCTGGTGAGATACATATTTACTTTCCAACAACTTCCCTTCAGAATCCTTTGAATCATGTCGCTTCAAAGATGCTGATGGATACCTGTGAGTATTGTTCTCAACGCGAGAACAGAATGATACGTACATTCGTCGGAGAGCACGCTACGCTATTTTCAAGCTTTTCAAGGGGTACACACGTCAACATTCTTTGCACTATTTTTCGAAAATCTACCAATTCAGAAGGTCTAAAAAGATCTCATAATAGTTGTATTGTTTTCACTATACAAGTTGAAAACTTAAAACCAAGTGAATTCCATTATAAAATCAGGAATAGCTAGTTTTCGGTTATTACGGGCAAAATGGCATTCCCCTCCACCACTTCAAAATTCTGTACAAAATTAAACTAAAATGTCATGTTTATTCATGGATACGTCAATCTGCAAATCAAAGGTTCAAATATTTTATGTTTTTACCATTTACGATTTCGAAAACATCATACTTATGAAAGCCGGACGTACCACCTCCATCTGTTCCAGGGGCCCCTCTCAAACGCAAGTCCTATATCTGTACATCAGAGGTAAAGTATACTAAGCCCACTTTTTGCCAACAATGAGTTATCTGTACTATGTCCTGGATATAGTCACGGCCTTTCAGATGGGCATATTGTTTTCTACGAGATGACAGGTTTCTAAAAGTTAGAGACTCTTAAACAGTACCAAGTCACTAAGCTAGTCAGAGGTAAACTGTATCCAATGGACTTGGTATTATCCCGTGAAGTGCTACGTCCGTCCCGCGGGGACTTGGTATCGCTTACAAGACGTTGAACCTGTCAGAGCTTATTTCACGGATAGTATTTTTCTCACCGCGATTTATCTGTATCTCCAGTCAGTCGCTATTTGGCTTCCGATCAATGTAGAGATGTCTTCGAGGAGTGCTAAAATTTTTGCCGCGCTGAAAACGTACAATTTGCAAAAAAATGACAATGGAACACAAAACAGTGAGTATTTATTATATACTGGCGCCTATTACAATTGTTAATGTTCTTCATCCTTTGTTACCAGGTTCTGGTGAAGCTTATGAGCAGTCTTTACCTGAAGAGTATGATCATTCAGATAACTTTTGTCTTGTGGGAAGCCCAGAATCACTAGTTAGCCCTGTAGCTGACTTTGAACCAGGTAAACACCGATGGTATGTTTTAATGGATAAGATATTTATAAGGCTTTTTTTCTAGAAGATGCAAGCTTGGCCTGTAAATTACCAAGTCACCTGACGGATTTGCATACCATTGAGAAACTCACGACCTCTGGCGGTCCTTTGTTGCATAGGAGTTCCTCACCTTCGCCCAGCTTACTCCAATCTAGTAATATGAATCTAACAGCTGCTCCGCAGCTTCGGTGCGATACATCAAATAGTGACAAAGGTGAACAATTTCTTCCCAATATCTTTTAGTATTTTTTTACCGTTTTTGTTTTAGCTAAAAGGAGGCAAAACGCATCCGTCGATAACATGGAAGGTGAAAAAGGTCTGGCTTTTGAGAATTCGGATGACAGCATACAAGATCCGGATTTTGTAAATTCAGATAGTACTACTAGCACCGACAGCTATGACAGACATTTAGGTTCAGCTAATGAGGAAAACGTGTCAGAACCGGCAAAGACAAAGAAGCGTCAGAGGAATTGTAACGCTTCCTTTCCGCAAAAAGTCCAGAAAAGATGGAATGCAATGAAGATTCCAACTTTTCTGCACAATCACAGAAAGGGGGTTACCATTAGCTTCCGGTAGCTCAGTCGGTGGCATGAAGACATCTACAGGCGTGTAGCTGTGTGTCGACCATGGCATGGCTAGAGGATAGAAGAACAAACAGAACACAAAAATTTAACAGATTTTATTTAACAAAAAAAAGGCATTTTCATTACATTACAATTTTACAAAAATTACAAAATAAGTTTTACATCTTTGGCGCTGCTATAACGCTATCGACTTATCTTTCGCTGGTCCATTTTTACTCGACTGAAGCCAGGATGGCCAGGGGCTTGAAGGGGAGGTCCCAGTTATGAGGGGTGACCTCCATATAGTGGCTTCACAACCAGTTGTAGGCGAAGTTAAAGGCGATGGCGCTGCCAAGGTACATGCATGGGTGAAAATATTGGCCAAGGCTAGGCAAAGTGAAAGGGAAAGAGAAAGGGGGTGGCCCCAATCATTTTTGTCCTATACGGACACACATCCTAGAAAATTCTAGCACATGGTGCTATATAACCTTGTGCTACTGAGAAGAAATTTCTAGCCGTTCTTCGATCGGCGGCTCAGGTGAAAAAGAAGCGCGAGGAAGATCGCAGATCAGGAACTCCGCATCAAGCGCTCCAAGCGGAAAATTTTCCAAGCAAAAAAGCTAGAGATGGGATTAATGAAATGATAATCGAGAAGTGATTTAATAAATACGATCGGACGGTGAAACCGTTACACTCGACCCAACTTAACCAAAAAAAAAAAAATCGAAGAAGCATTTAAGAATTTTTTTTTTTTTACTAGGAAATTGAAAGTTATCACGGAAGGACAAATGTACAACCATTCGACCAGATAACAAGTGGTAAAAGTAAGGTAGAAACAAAAATGTTAGAAGAGAATTGGAAGAAAAAGGGATAGCCTCAAGTCTACCAAACAAGAGGGATGGTTATATCACCAACTCGCTGAAAAGTACAGTGAAGTTGCACTTAAAAAAAAACTATCATCATATGATGAAAAACCCAAAACATAAAACATCGTCATACCTAAGACGAGAAAAATAATAAACCAAAAGTTTCAGCAGTAGTCCAAGCACGAATCACAATGGCATCCAAAATGCACGACTGACTACTAAAAACTTCAAAACTAAGTAAGTACCTAAACCATAAGAGGTACTAAAAAAAAATAATCTTTCTCAAAACAATTGCCAGATTATCTCGCAATACTCCAACCCAAAAAGATTATGATCTACAGTGATATTTTAAACCAATATCGAATATAAAAAAACTGTGCATTACTATTTTCAAAATATGAAAATCAAAAGAAATTAACAAATTCTATTAAGAATTCCAGTTATATAACAAAACAATTTACAAGTACTAAACCAATGAAAACTTGATCACGAAGGTATTTTAATCAACAAAGATGTTAACTAAGTGCAGTTCTGATTCCACAAAAAAAATTGTCGGGCGCCAGCAGTCTGTAAGACTACAAAATAATTCAAAATATTTTCAGAGAATTAAAGTATATAAGGGACATTCATGAAATATTGAAGTAAGATTTTCAAAGTCAAAATATAGCTTAAGTTCAATCAATGAACTAGAATTCAAGAGTAAGTTCAATCAAAATTTTCGGGTCATGTGACAACATAAGAACCAGACCAAAAAAAAAATTGAAGTACAATATAGAAAAGAGCAAAATAAATTTCCAAAAAAACTAAGTGCAACACAAGTGCAACTGTAAATCTAATAGTGTTAAAATCATAAAGTGAAAGGAAATATTAAAGCTATATGAGCATGATTTTATAAAGGGTTCTCAAAAAAATTTAAAAGTAAGCAAAATATTAAAAGTTTCATGAGTAATAAATGAGAAACGAAGTGAGCATATGTAAAATGCAAAATAGCGAAACGAAAATCACAAGATATTTTATTAAATCATGATACATGAGAGTAATGCCGCAAGCAAAAATTGTATGCAAAAGACTACGATATATGTAGGTGCAAAATTGGAGTTATAAAAAAAATCTAGTGAACAAGAAATAGAAATAAATATGATAGGTAAGAATTCGAATTTTGATTTAAAGCAAAAATATGAGAGAAAGACAACTTTCTAGGGTCACCATAGGTGCATTCCAAAGCCCTAGACAAGAATGTCTATAGTCTATGGAATATTCTCATGTAGATCACTGATATCATCAGCGCACTTCAAAGTCTACACTGAGAATAACCATAACATTGTAAAATGAAAGTTAAGTTCAAACATGAAATATTACAAGATTAGAAAAACTATAATAATTTACCAGTGTAAAGTATGAAAAGAGAATTACTATACTGAATCTATAAGAATTGGCGATTACTTCAAGTCAAGACAGAAATTGAAAGAAATAAGAAGCCGGAAAAAAACTTTATGAGAGCAGACTATCAAAACAAATGCAATAATGCAAAAGCAAAATCACCAGATATTTCAAAATCTATAGCGAAACATGAAAGCAATGTCGCAACCAAGCTCAAGACTTAGCAATACGCACAAATGTGCACAAAGGCTGAAAGCATATATGAAAAATCTCAAGAAGGAATTGACAATTACTTCAAGTCAAATTGAACTGATTGAATTGAACTGAGACATAAATTATCAAAAGTGAGTTTTACTTATACGCCAGAGGTTTCAAGAGTTTATCAATACGCACAGATTTGCAACTAGGCGGAAAGCATATATGACAAGTCTCAAGAAGAAAATAAAATGCATATGAAGAAAACACTTTCAATTAAAGAAACTGTGGATAGTACAAGACCCTCAAAGGCATACATCGCAACGAATCTATGTAACTATCCAGACTACAAAATACTGCCAAAGTTCAAAACCACTCAAAAATATGTGAACAAACATCAAAAGTTTGAACCAAAAACAATGTAAGTCTGTGCTCTCGAAGAAAGTTATAATGAATTCAAAAAGAGGATACTATCAAAAACTTCAAAAGTAATAGACTTCAAACATAGAGGTACGTAAGTATGTAAAAGAAATTCAGAAAATATACGCATAAAAACATTATAAAATATTATACACAGTATTTGTCACATGATTTGAATGCAATTTAAATTTTGAGTACACTCAGAAAAATGAAATATTTAAAAGATGAAGTATACACATTAAATTGGAATCAGAAAAATAATTATTACTTGTAAATTTTGTACATGGTGGACTGACGTGATGGTTCAAAAGGTTGAAAGAACAACGATGACTAATGTCCAAAGTAAACATTCAGCTGCCTCTTACAGCAAATAAGTTTATTCATTATCAAAGGAAATTCTTCTCCGTTCGCATCTGTACTAGGAAATAAATATAGGAAAACCTACTCGCTCCAATGTACAGATCGAAAAACTCGCCCCCTTCGATTGAGCGGGAATATGAGTATTGGACAAATTGTAATATTTCAAAAGGTTGAAGGATCAACGATGTTAAATGTCCTAAGTAAACAATCAGCTGCCTCTTACAGCAAATAAGTTTATTCATTATCAAAGGAAATTCTTGTCCGTTCGCATCTGTACTAGGAAATAAATATAGGAAAACCTACTCGCTCCAATGTACAGATCGAAAAACTCGCCCCCTTCGATTGAGCGGAAATATGAGTATTGGACTGGTTGTAATATTTCAAAAGGTTGAAGGATCAACGATGTTAAACGTCCAAAGTAAACATTCAACTGCCTTTTACAGTAAATTAGCTTAACAATTGAAGGGTACAGGTCCAAAAGGGGGCAAGTCGTAATTTTACACAAATAGATCTAGTGGTGCCATCTTGTAGCAATTTTAACGTAGAAGTGGTCAGCGACTTGAACACGTCCTAAAAGCGCTTAGTGCCTGTGAAATTCTAATTCTTATTTACGCATACACCGCCAATAGGGGGCAAGTCCGCATCAGTCAGGTCCTAAAAGGGTAAAGTCCATATAAACAGCTGATAGATGTCGATCTAATACGCGCAGTTTAGAGTTAGATTAGTCGGAGTAGCTAGTGTTTTCAATGTTTTTCAAGTAAATTAAAAGTAAATAACAATGAATACTGAGAACAATAGTAGCGGAAATGAGAGTGAAGTAGTATCTAGACAGAATGAATCAAAAAAGAGGAAAAAGTACGGCAGAATGAGAGATGTCATGAAAAAGATTAGACTGCAGAGCCACGAGGTAGGTGCAAACTGTAACTGTCGTAAACAATGTTTTCAAAATGTACCTGAAGAAGCAAGAAAAACCATTCTCAAGAATTTTAACGCAATGACTTCTATTAATGAGCAGAACTCCTACTTATGTGGATTGATTACGGTACTCCTCATTCGCCGAAGAAGGCCTAGGAAAGATGAAGTCGTAGCAAATTTGAGAAGTAGTGCATATTCTTACAGGGTACGTTTTAGAACTGATAATAGCTTACAGGAAATAAATATTTGTAGACAAGCTTTTATGTCTGTTCATGGAATAAAGAAAAAAAAATTAGAGATACTACAAAAGTCACTAAAAATGACTGGAGTCGCTCCAAAAGATAAAAGAGGAGAAAATAAAAACCATCCTAGGAAATTTGATGCTCACGTTCTTGCAGCAATATACGAACATATAAAGTCATTTAAAGGCAGGAAAAGCCACTACAGTGTGAAGGATAGTAGAAAATTATACTTACCTGAAGACTTGAACATAAAAAAGATGTTCAAAATGTTTTGCGAGTTGAACCCTTCTATGAAAGTATCTTACGAGTCGTACAGAACAGTCTTTAATACAAAATTCAACATAGCCTTTGGATATCCCAGGACCGATACATGTAGTTCTTGCGATGAGTTTCTTATAAAAATAAAATCTCTTCAGTCTGATGTTTTAAAGAGTATGGATATTGCTCAAAAAGAACGCTTTCAAAAGGAAATACGCCATATTACAATACAAAATGATGTACACAAAAGAAAGGCTGAGGTATTTTACAGTAGAAAAAGGGCTGCGAAGAAACGAAGTCGAACCTCTGTGACTCACGAAGCTATTTGTCTCGATTTTGGACAAAATCTCAGTGTCCCAAACATAACAACAAACGATGTTTACTATAAGAGCCAGCTGAACGTCTATGCCTTTAATATCCACATTCTATCTACAGCAAAAAGTGTGTTTTACATTTACCCCGAAACACTTGGCAAAAAGGGAAGCGACGATGTATGCTCAATGCTGAATGACTTTTTATGGAATTTTCTCGATTTACAAGTAAGATCGCTTGAAATATTCTGCGACTCGTGTGGAGGGCAAAATAAAAATTACACGATGTTTCGTTTTTTGCATTATATTGTCCACAATACACATAGACTTGATTATGTTAAAGTTACTTTTCCTATTCGTGGGCATTCCTACATGGAACCGGACAAAAATATGGGCTTAATAAACTCCCACCAAAGAGCCGAGATTCCTTCAGATTGGGTAGAAATTTTTAGAAGTGCTCGTGCAAAACCATCACCATTTGACGTTGTGGAAATAGATCAATCCTACTTTCGAGCATGGACAAATTTTTTTAATACCAAAACGGATTATTTGAAGAAATGTCCTTTCCGTTCCCGTCCTATTCGAGAATTAGAAATACATCAAGAACATCATAGACTAATATATTACCGGGAGTCCTATAATGGAGCATGGGAGTCAGCAATAGTGAAGGGAAAAGAGACTAAGCGAAAGGGACCTGTGCTATTGCAAAATGAATTTGTACTTCCTCCGTATTCTTATTCAGGTATAAAAAATACTTATGTCTTGAAATACTATTTTTTTTAAACAACAAAATTATTTTTAGGTTTGATACCCATCACGGCTAAAAAATTTAAACACCTACAAGATTTAAAACGATTCTGTGGTGACGAAGCAAAACAATTTTTCGATAACCTGCCCAAGAACTAGAAGTATATTTTATATTAATAACTATTGTCTACTTTTCGGTATACCTTGTTTTTTTTGGACTTGGCCCCTTTAGGCCAACAATGTTTGATGGTTTGACCAATTAATGCTTATGTTCTACTTTGTATAAATGACAATATAAGTTTAATTTCTTGTGTGTGTCTCAATAATTACCCAAATAACTAATCTAATTAACAGAATTCATAATAACCATCAAGAATTTATCAATTACTAGTTTTAAAAGTTAAACTCTGTTTTGTACGAAATAAACATTTGGCGACTTAGCTCCTTATGGACCTGTACCCTTCAAATTATCAAAGGAAATTCTTATCCGTTCGCATCTGTACTAGGAAATAAATATAGGAAAACCTACTCGCTCCAATGTACAGACCGAAAAACTCGCCCCCTTCGATTGAGCGGAAATATGAGTATTGGACAAATTGTAATATTTCAAAAGGTTGAAGGATCAACGATGTTAAATGTCCAAAGTAAACAATCAGCTGCCTCTTACAGCAAATAAGTTTAATCATTATCAAAGGAAATTCTTCTCCGTTCGCATCTGTACTAGGAAATAAATATAGGAAAACCTACTCGCTCCAATGTACAGATCGAAAAAACTCGCCCCCTTCGATTGAGCGGAAATATGAGTATTGGACTGATTGTAATATTTCAAAAGGTTGAAGGATCAACGATGTTAAATGTCCAAAGTAAACATTCAGCTGCCTCTTACAGCAAATAAGTTTATTCATTATCAAAGGAAATTCTTCTCCGTTCGCATCTGTACTAGGAAATAAATATAGGAAAACCTACTCGCTCCAATGTACAGATCGAAAAACTCGCCCCCTTCGATTGAGCGGTAATATGAGTATTGGACTGATTGTAATATTTCAAAAGGTTGAAGGATCAACGATGTTAAATGTCCAAAGTAAACAATCAGCTGCCTCTTACAGCAAATAAGTTTAATCATTATCAAAGGAAATTCTTCTCCGTTCGCATCTGTACTAGGAAATAAATATAGGAAAACCTACTCGCTCCAATGTACAGATCGAAAAAACTCGCCCCCTTCGATTGAGCGGAAATATGAGTATTGGACTGATTGTAATATTTCAAAAGGTTGAAGGATCAACGATGTTAAATGTCCAAAGTAAACATTCAGCTGCCTCTTACAGCAAATAAGTTTATTCATTATCAAAGGAAATTCTTCTCCGTTCGCATCTGTACTAGGAAATAAATATAGGAAAACCTACTCGCTCCAATGTACAGATCGAAAAACTCGCCCCCTTCGATTGAGCGGTAATATGAGTATTGGACTGATTGTAATATTTCAAAAGGTTGAAGGATCAACGATGTTAAATGTCCAAAGTAAACAATCAGCTGCCTCTTACAGCAAATAAGTTTAATCATTATCAAAGGAAATTCTTCTCCGTTCGCATCTGTACTAGGAAATAAATATAGGAAAACCTACTCGCTCCAATGTACAGATCGAAAAAACTCGCCCCCTTCGATTGAGCGGAAATATGAGTATTGGACTGATTGTAATATTTCAAAAGGTTGAAGGATCAACGATGTTAAATGTCCAAAGTAAACATTCAGCTGCCTCTTACAGCAAATAAGTTTATTCATTATCAAAGGAAATTCTTCTCCGTTCGCATCTGTACTAGGAAATAAATATAGGAAAACCTACTCGCTCCAATGTACAGATCGAAAAACTCGCCCCCTTCGATTGAGCGGTAATATGAGTATTGGACTGATTGTAATATTTCAAAAGGTTGAAGGATCAACTATGTTAAATGTCCAAAGTAAACATTCAGCTGCCTCTTACAGCAAATAAGTTTAATCATTATCAAAGGAAATTCTTCTCCGTTCGCATCTATACTAGGAAATAAATATAGGAAAACCTACTTGCTCCAATGTACAGATCGAAAAACTCGCCCCCTTCGATTGAGCGGAAATATGAATATTGGACTGATTGTAATATTTCAAAAGGTTGCAGGATCAACGATGTTAAATGTCCAAAGTAAACAATCAGCTGCCTCTTACAGCAAATAAGTTTAATCATTATCAAAGGAAATTCTTCTCCGTTCGCATCTGTACTAGGAAATAAATATAGGAAAACCTACTCGCTCCAATGTACAGATCGAAAAACTCGCCCCCTTCGATTGAGCGGAAATATGAGTATTGTTACAAATGATAATGATTAAGCAAGAATAATTTATCTGAATTTTAGAATATGAGAGTATATAAAGCATAATAATACACAAAAGCAAAAGTTAATCGCTGTCCGAATCAGAACTCTCACTCATTACATCATTACGCAAAACATCAATACCATTGCCATGATCAACATTCAACGTATTATCAGGTTTCAAGTCTTTAACATGAAAATCTCCCAAGATATTACCATGGAGATCTTTCAATGTGTATACTAACGGATATTTTACTATATGAATAATACAAGGAAGGAATTTTGGACTTAGTTTGGCACAAAAGTTGTCTGCAGCACTTGATTGAAAGAAATTGCGTTTGAGAACTCTATCACCTTTATTAAATTGCAGATGTCGTCTACGCAGATTATACCTATTTCTATTAAGTTCGTAGGAACGTCGCATTCTGTGCTGGACTTTAAGGTAAAATTCTGGAATTTGCTGAACAAAATTTGGATCTATGACGTTCTGGTCGATATTGACTGGATTATCGGCAACAGGTGCAATCTTTCCATAGAATGACCCATCAACTGGTACATTTCTGTAAAAATTTAGAAAGCTGGGCGAGTATCCTGTGATTTCATGTTTAGCAAGTCTGATTGCTTGAGCTATTTGATGAATAGACTCATCCCAAGTTTTATGAGAGTCTTTGATATAGGACCTAATTGCAGTAACGATGGTTCTGTTAACTCGCTCAGTAGGATTTACCTGAGGGGTGTATCTTGCTGAATACCAGATCTTCTGCACTTTATATGAATCTGCAAGCGCTTTAAATTCTTTAGAAATGAACTGTGGACCATTATCTACAACGATGATTTGAGGAACTCCAAATATAAGGAAAACTTGATTTTCTAAAAATTTTACAATTGAGCTTGAAGTTGCCTTAGGCATTGGATGAACTAGTACAAGTTTAGTGAACCAGTCACAAACTACTAAAAGAAAACGATTTCCTTTTTTAGAACGAGGATATGGTCCTAAAAAATCTGCTGAAATCATTTGAAATGGATACTTGATGTCTCTATATTTACCCATTAAACCAGCTTGAGGTAAATTACTAGGTTTGCATTGTGAGCAAACTTTGCAAGAGTGTACATAGAACTGAACAGATTGCTTCATTTTAGGCCAATAATAAATAGCTGATATGCGAGATAGTGTTTTAAATACTCCTAAATGACCAGAAGTAGGATCATCATGATACATTTTGAGCAATTTAGATCTATTTGGAGCTGGAACAACGATTTTCCAGTCAGTATAAGTTTCTGCAAGTGGATTATCAGAAAGAATATGTTTGTATAGAATATTATTTTCTACTTTAAAAGATGGATACAATTCAGGGTTGTTTTCAACCTTACGTATCATTTTACGGTACCACTTGTCAGGAGATAATTCCGCAAGATCTAAAACTGACACATTAACCTCATTTTCATGCAAACGCGAAAGAGCATCTGCTACAGGTATATCTTTGCCTTTACGATGAATAATTTTAAAATCATAAGGGGAGAGACGACATAACCATCTGCATAGTCTAGGTGAAGGTGTTTTTTGAGATCTCAACCACTGCAAACTTGAATGATCAGAAATAACGAAAAAATGTGTGTGCTCTATGTAACAACGGAAATGTTCAATACTAAGAATGACTGCAAGCAGTTCTTTTTCAGTTGTAGAGTATTTTCTTTGGCACTTGTTGAGAGATTTACTGAAATAAGCTATGGGATGTTCCAAACCATTTTCTTCTTGATAAAGAGTGCCTCCCACACCAGTATTTGAGCTGTCACAACAAATATAGAAGGGCTTGGAGAAGTCTGGACTAGCAAGAATTGGAGCGCTGGTTAGCAAATTCTTAATTTCCTTAAAAGCATTGTCAGCATCAGGAGTCCAAGTGATAGGTTCACCCTTCTTCCGATTTTTAAGCAAGTCTGAAATTGGAGAACATACACCACTAAAATTGTTAAGGAAACGACGATAATATCCAAACATTCCAATCAACCGTCGAATCTGAGTAGTATTAGTTGGTTGAGGATATGATAAGAGTGCAGATACTTTTTCGGGGTTTGTTCTAAGTCCTTTCTCATCAACAACATAGCCTAAGAAAGTCAAAGATGAGCGAGCAAAATGACATTTATCAAAATTTACAGTCAACTTAGCATCTTTCAATCGATTATAAACTTCTTTCAGTATCCTTAGGTGAGTTTCAAAATCAGGAGTTGCCACAATTATATCATCCAGATAATAAAAAACATATGGTTCCAGATCAGGACCGATAACCATGTCTAATAATCGACACATTGCACTTGAACTATTAGAAAGGCCAAAAGGAAGTCTTCGAAAGCAATACATTCCTTTACCACGAACTATGAAAGCTGTTTTTAATTTAGATTCTTCATCAAGTGGAATCTGGAAAAATGCTGATTTTAAATCAATGGATGATAGATATCTGGCATCTCTGATTTTAGAAATTACAGAGTCTATTAAAGGAGGAGGATACGCGTCAGGAATTGTTACTGAATTTAGTTTTCTACCATCAAAACAAACTCTATATGAACCGTCTTTCTTGGAAACCAGCCAGAGCGCTGAACACCAGGCACTGCTGCAAGGTTCTATAATACCCATGTCCAACATTTCATCAACTTGCTTAATAAGAGCTTTTTCCATTACATGAGAAAGCGGATATTGTCTTTGCCTGATGGGCTTTGCATCACCTGTGTCAATGTGATGTGTATATAAATGTGTACAACCAATACTGTCAGTAGGTGCAATGCTATTAAAAAGTTCAACAATTTCAAATAATTGTTCCTTTTCCATATTAGATAGCTTCTCCACACCTTGAATACAATTTACAGCACAAGATTGATATGAAAAAGTATGAAAATGAAGGTTGAAATTGAATTTTAGGATGAAATCCATGCCTAAAAGTAATGTGTGTGTAATGGAAGGAACTATTATGAATTTAATAACATGAACTTTGCCATTAAAACCTACTGGCAGCAAAGCAAAACCTAAAGTATTCTGCATCTGGCCATCAGCAGTTGTTATTTGCAAGGTACTACTGTAATCGATGTTGAGATTTAATTTACGTAATAAGTATAAGCCAGATGAACCTAGAATGTTGGCATTGCTTCCAGTATCAAGCAAAGCTGAAATGTTTTCATCACCAATGGATATTGAAAGATGTGGACGATTGTCATTTGGTTTTTGAATAAATGGTTCTGAATGATCATTTGATGGCATACCTGCAAGTTGTGAATGATTAATGTCAAAATCGGGATTAATTGCTGAAGGTTGTCTTAACTTGGCTATTTGTTGGACTTCAGAATGAGACCTGGAGTTGCTTTGCCCTTTACGGCTATGACTCCTCGAGTCTGGGCGAAAGAAGTTCCGGGAGTCGGATTGGAAACTTCTTGCCTCACGTTTTTTGAACAGGAAGGACAATTAGAGCGTGTGACATTTTTCATACCACAGGTATAGCAATAAACAGCCTTAGGAGCTCTACAGTCTCGAACAGAATGTCCTAGTTTCTCGCAGTTCCAACATACAGGAGCTTTTCTGTGAGATGATGGAGTACTATCAGAAGTAACCAAGCTGGAAGTGGAAAGTCTATTGTGGGGTTGACAAGTCAAGAAGGAATCCTCTAATTTCCTACAAAGTGATGTTAGTTCAGGAAAAGTGGAAATTTCATGAAGAGCAAGTGACTTTATGAAGTCAGGCAATAAATTTCTACGGACAATATTGACCATGTCCCTTTCTGTAAATGTATTGTAGGTTAATCTATTGAATTGAGATTCCATGAACGAAATGAATATCGTAACATGTTCATGCTGACCTTGTTTGCGTCTACGAATCTCATCAATTAGGTTCATATCATAATTGTCACGTAGGAAAGCATCCTTGAGTTGTTTAATCAAGTCCTGCCAATCATGAAAGCTATTTCTTAGATGGCCATTATGCCACCATGTCCAGGCTACATCTTCAAAGAGATCACCTGCAGATGCAAAGAGATCCATCTCATTGCAACCACGGGAAGACATTAGAGATTCGACAATTTCTAGAAATTCAATAACTGAGCTATTTCCAGAAAATTTTTTGATTCCCCATTTGAAAACTGGTATCTTTTTATGTGGAGCAAAATTTATATGAGAGAGTGGCTGTGTATGTACTGGAGGAAATACTTGAGGATTAGCAACAGTCACAGGCGGATTTGATGCTAATGGAATAGGACGAGATGAAACTGATGGAGGAAATGATTGAGCAGATGGCATCTCAAACTTCTCTAAAAGATCCGATTCACACACAACAAGTTGTGTCTTTAATCTAGATTTTGTACTTATCTCCTCATCACAAGTAGGAGACATTCGATCTATCCTACCAGATAGATGCAATAAGCGCACACAAATTCTGCGATGTTCAACAGAATCAAATGCACCAGTAAATCTAGAGATCATCTCAGTGAGTTTATTGAATGAGAGTCTTATCTCAGTCTCATCCTCATCAAAAGGAATAGTCACAGAAGTTTCTGAGAAACTACGCCCTTGAAATTCCTGTGCTAATAAGCCACGTAAAACTTTACGTTTATCCTCCACGGTATTAGGGACTTCCAAACCTCTGATATGAATCTCGTAGTGGAGTTCATGACTTAATAAGTCATTTGGGCTTAGTCTAGACTGAACCGTGATTGAGAAATAAACCTCAAAGAAACACTTGAAAGAAAAAAATTAAAGTTAAAAACCTGAATACGTCAAGAAATGACAAGGATCTAAAACACTATAAAAAACTAACAATACAAACAAAAAGTTTCAATACAAAAACAGGAGCAGCCGAATCTTAAAAAAAATTATTTTATATCTGACATACATTAAAAGAGTACAGAGACGTTCAAGTCCTGTTAATCCAATGGAAAATCAGACACTAATGTTCTAATTTCCCCCAAAGAATATGCCAGATAAAACTATAAAACATAAAAATTATGAAAACTTTTGCTCCAAACAAGAGACAAAATTACTACAATAGCTACTGAGGAACGTATACTATTTCAACAACAAGTTGAAGTTTAATTATCATAAATGAGTATGTGTGTCTTTGTATAGGTAAAAATGATTTAGGAGTCACCCCCTCATTGAAAAGTAGCAAAAATATAGTCAAGAAAAACATCATTTGTTTCTTGAAAAAAAAGAAAGGTAAGTATCAAAGTACTATGTCCAAGTGTCAATACTTGAAAAAAAGTAAACCGCCAAAATATACGAAAAATTATGAATATCAATTTCATATAATTCAGAAAAATGGATAAATCGCAAAATGATTTACTCCAGATAACTCTAGTCAGTAGGTTATTGCCATCAGAATGAAAACAAATGATCAAAAGTTCAAGTACAGTCAAAAATTCAAAAAGTAAATACATTTGGGGAAGGCAAAAATAATTTTGAAAGTAAATTTCCTACGTACCAAACATCATGAGAGCTATATCAGTACACCAGAGATCCAACAATTAGGCTATATATGCGTACATGAAAAGTCTCAAGAAATCAAAAAACTGCACATGAAGAAATACTTTCAAAAACTAAGAGGTTAGTGATCAAAAATGAAAAGCATATAAGAATATGTAAACTATCAACAACAATAGTCACAACCTCAATCAAAAGTTTGATGATATTCGACAAAAATGCTGGGAAACCTAAAGTCCCCAGACTATCAATATTCAACAACAAAAAATTATCAAAATATCATCAATCTCAAAAGTACAATGAGAAAAAGTTATAACTGTCCCCAGCAGTAAATAAAAACTATAGTAGTATGTGAGAAAAAAATTCTGGCAATGATCTCGCTGACTACTAAACAAGACAATTTAAAAGTTAATAGTATACCTATGAAATAAACAGGTGGAAAAATTTTAATCTTTTGATAAACATTTTAAACATTAAGCAAAAAGTAAGGATGATTAAGGAATTAGAAATTTGAGTACCAAAAGCAATTAAAAATAGAAATGCTGCCAAAGATTGTAAAGAATTTTGAAAACTATGTTCTGTCTGCCAATCTTCCACTAGCAAACCACTTGTCGACAAAGCCAAACACCTATCGATGCCCCACGATGGGCGCCAATTTATGTAACGCTTCCTTTCCGCAAAAAGTCCACAAAAGATGGAATGCAATGAAGATTCCAACTTTTCTGCACAATCACAGAAAGGGGGTTACCATTAGCTTCCGGTAGCTCAGTCGGTGGCATGAAGACATCTACAGGCGTGTAGCTGTGTGTCGACCATGGCATGGCTAGAGGATAGAAGAACAAACAGAACACAAAAATTTAACAGATTTTATTTAACAAAAAAAAGGCATTTTCATTACATTACAATTTTACAAAAATTACAAAATAAGTTTTACATCTTTGGCGCTGCTATAACGCTATCGACTTATCTTTCGCTGGTCCATTTTTACTCGACTGAAGCCAGGATGGCCAGGGGCTTGAAGGGGAGGTCCCAGTTATGAGGGGTGACCTCCATATAGTGGCTTCACAACCAGTTGTAGGCGAAGTTAAAGGCGATGGCGCTGCCAAGGTACATGCATGGGTGAAAATATTGGCCAAGGCTAGGCAAAGTGAAAGGGAAAGAGAAAGGGGGTGGCCCCAATCATTTTTGTCCTATACGGACACACATCCTAGAAAATTCTAGCACATGGTGCTATATAACCTTGTGCTACTGAGAAGAAATTTCTAGCCGTTCTTCGATCGGCGGCTCAGGTGAAAAAGAAGCGCGAGGAAGATCGCAGATCAGGAACTCCGCATCAAGCGCTCCAAGCGGAAAATTTTCCAAGCAAAAAAGCTAGAGATGGGATTAATGAAATGATAATCGAGAAGTGATTTAATAAATACGATCGGACGGTGAAACCGTTACAGAATATAGCTAAATGGAAATGTAATGTGAGGAAACTTAAAACCCTTTCTGGTGAGCAGTATATTTCTAAGCGCAATACTGTAGTTAAGGCCAAATCTATGGGCCCATCTTGTAAAGATAAGTGCAGGTTCCAATGCTCTAAAAAAGTTCTCCAGATCGAGCGCGAGGGTATCTTTGAACAGTTTTGGTCACCTTCCAAAACCATCGACCTTAAACGACAGTTTGTTGCTTCATGTGTACAATTAGTTCCAATCAAAAGGAGGCGTAAAAGAACTGGGGAAAGGGCAAATATTAAGAAAACTTCCAATAGGAAGTTCAACTTCACTATTGATGGAATTCAAGTTGAGGTCTGTAAATCGTTCTTTTTGAACACTTTAGGAATTTCGCAAACATTTGTGGCTACTGCTCTATGTAAAAAAGTCATAGGTGGTATGCTTCAATCCGACAATCGAGGTAAAAAGGTTCCCCCAAACAAAATATCGGCTGAGGTACCATAAGAGACCACATTTTGAAGTTTCCAACAGTAGAGTCTCATTACAGTAGAAAGCGCTCATCCAAAAAATATCTCGAAAATAGCTTATGCATATCAAAAATGTACGAGCTTTATAAACAAGAAATGTTGGATAAAAATATTCCTGAAATTGATACTCCAAAGCTGTGGCTATACACCGAGATATTTAACAATGAATTCAACTATTCATTTAAAGTTCCCGATAACGACAACGACACGTGTGACCAGTGTTCAACTGAAGCAGTCGGCTCCTGAAGAACGGATGGTCGTACAAAGAGAGTATGATCAGCATCTGACTGAATCCAGTGACAGGTATGCCCTCAAAAGACAAGATAAATCAAACTCGAAGGTAAACAAAAAACAGAAGGTGTTGACAGTTGATCTAGAAAAATGCTTACCAACACCAGCCATAACGAATGCTCAAAGCTTCTATTCTTTAAAATTGTGGACATTCAACTACACAATTAAAGATGTCTCCAAAAATCACACAACTTGTTGTGTGTGGGATGAGAGTGTTGCAGGTAGAGGGGGAAATGAAATGGCATCTTGCTTACTCAAATGGGCGCTTGTCAATGTTGGCAAAGACGTTGAAGAGATCACTATATGGTCAGATAACTGTCCATCACAAAATCGCAACATTAACTCAGTTTTAGCTTACTTTACAATTTTAAAGCAGATACCAACGTTAAAAGTAATAAATCACAAATATCTTCTAAGGGGGCATACTCACCTAGAGGTAGATAGTGATCATTCATTAATAGAGAGAGCAAGAAAAATAATGACTAAATTCCAAATCATGACTCCATGGGATTGGCAACAGCTGGTGCGAATTTCTAGTACCAGTAATCCATTTGAGGTGATTAACATGGAGACTACCGATTTCAAAAATTTCTTGTCACTGATAGAGGGATCCAGTTCACCCTTTCTGCATAGAAAAAAATTTGAAAGTGGAAACGATTTCAAAATATCCCAGTTAGTTCACATTCAGGTTCATGCTGACCATCCCGGTAAGATGTTTTGTAAGGACACATTCAATGGAGATTTCGAGGTTTTGGATTTGAATCGTATTTCACGAAGATCGGTCATCTTTCCTGAAGAAATTCCTTTGATCAGAGTTGGACCTAAGCCCATATGAGATAAAAAATACGAAGACCTCCAAAATCTAATGCAATGAGTACCAAAAATGTTCCACAACTTTTATCAAAATCTTCCTCAAACTGGGAACAATGTCATTGACGGATAGAGTTATCAATTAATAAAGGCCCTCATTTAACTCTATACAGTATCCAAATGAATAGTTTGTTAGTTTCCAATGTTCACGTTGTATTGCATTTACTTTATAATTTATGATAATAAAGAATAATTTGAATTACACATTCCATGTGTTATTTTAATAAATTAATTAATGAGCTAAGTGCAGGAAGGAATACTGTTTTCATAGGTATAAAATACTGCCATCTAAATTCAAGAAACTAGCATACGATGTCCACCGATAGAAAATAGTTTCAGAGGTAAAAGGTACCAAGTCCTGTTAAACAAAAAATTACTGGTAGTAAAACAAAAAATTCATGCTCCTAGGTGAAGCACCACCTTTTCGTCCGTAAAAAAAATTTGGTTGATCTGTAAATGTGCAAATGAACAAGAGCAGAATATTTGAAGAAATATCCTTTACCAAGCTCTCCTGTAAAATCTACCTTTTGTGACATAGTACACTTTACCTCTGATGTACAAATAAACGACCCCGATTTTGACTTATGAATGAAATTTTTATTTTTAAAATTTTGTCCACGCTCTTTGTTCAAAATGAAGCATTTTTTCTTTCGAAAACTGTCAAAGGGTAAACAAAGGTTTAATCAATGACCAGGGAATCTCCTGTATAGATATTTCAAAACAAGGACAGTAGCTATTTTCTTTTTTCTTTTCTGTTGCAGTTTCCATCTGAACCACCACTGAAGACGCGTGACGTGCATTGTCCTCTAGAAAACTGCCACCGAAGCACGTATGCAGAGGGAGATGGAGAGAGACATGCATCCTGGATAAACGCTGCAATGAATTAAGGTAAAACAGGTGATAAATAAAATAATTATCCTATCTGAGCTGAGGCTGAGGTGCACCGTTCAGTCGCCAGCAGCTTTGAGTAAATTCAAGTGTTTCCCAAATAAACACCGCGCGCGTTTCTGCTAAGAGCTTCGCGGTAGCGTTTCATTAAAACCATAAGCGTACATGAGAAAATAACTATTCAGGCGCTCCTTCTTTTTTTAAAAAATAACTTGGCAAAAATTGCCTTTTGTCGATGTCAGGATTTGTTAAAAAATACTACGGTTCTTCAACGCCCTCGTAACTGTTACCTTGAATAGCGAAAAAATGAAAAGATACTCTCGCAAAATTAGGCGAGCACAGTTACGCCATCGTAGCTTTCGGTGCGGTGCGTGAGCGATCGAAAAACCTTGGTTGACATCGGGAGCGTTCGAGATATGTCGCACGAATGTTCTGTAAAGCTTCTGGATGGATAGATTTGAAAATATAAGGGCGCGACGACAGTGGATAAAGACACAGTCGAGTCTACAGACAGTCGAGCAATCGACAGCGAGCAATGACTCACCACCTAGCGCGATGGTCCAGTCGACATGGTTACAAATATGTCATAAATTAGTTGCAAATGTTATAAATTAGTGTAGAGTAAATAATTAGACTTTGTACATTAGAAACTGTATTTTAGTTATAGTACTATAGTGTGGTACCAAAACGGAAGAGAGTAGCATGCTACGCTTTTGCTTACGCCGGATTTCTTTGAATACAAGGGAATCCGCGCGCTCCTACTTTGCCTTTAGTAGTGGCGTACGATGTTACTCTCTTCCGTTTTTGTACCCGAGCACAAATTTCGGAGATATTGGGATTTTGGGATCAATGCAAGATATATTTCGACGTCATCTTTTTTACACTCTCGTACCGAAACGGAAGAGAGTAAGTAGCAAAACACATCTTACGCCAATAAAAAATCGGTATGTCTTTAAAATACGATGGGATCTGCGCGAACCGACATTACTCATAGAAAGCTAGCAGTGGCATACGATGTATTATGACATATTTTGAAGATAAACTACAGAATTACTGAGTTTTTGTTGTTGATAATGGATCACGCTTGTAATTTTTCAAAACTCTTTACGCCTATCCATCGTGATGTGTTCAAGTTCACAGTATAACCATAACAATGTTGGTCGCCTCTATCAATGTATTAAGAACTAAAATGAGATTCCGAAAATAACTGTTTGCTATTTCAACATTTTATTTTATTAAATATATTGTTTTCTGTATTTAAGAGCTGGAAAAATTGAAGTGAAGGAGGAAGTTTCATTACATACAAAAACAATATTGTGAGTGTTTCCTATGAAATATAAGCAGCAAAAACTGTTCTTCAGGGTTAAAAGAAAAAATCTGACGAGAACACAATGTTGCGTTATGAGTTTAAGCTACGACCCAGCCATAAGGCGTACTTTATTAATGCGTTTTCAGGCATTAAGAGCTACTTCCCAGGGTTCCTTTTACAACCTAGAGCGATACAGTAGTTTTCTCACATGCTATGTTTACATAAACATAAAGAGAACTGCCCTTATTTATTGTTGCTAGGCAATGACACAACTCACATCCAGTGGTGATACGATAGCACGGTAATGTTATTAATAAATTATTAATTCTACTCTAAGGACCGATTTCACCAACATTAATATTATGGACCAATTGGAAAATACCTTATCGAAACGCAATTTGATAGAAGCTGTCAAAGGTCTCTGAACATTAGTGATTTCTATTGAAATATTGAATAAAATCGTGAAAATGCGACTGTATTATAAACAAGACCACTTTTTGATTCCAACAAGATGCTTTTGTACAGAAAAAACTGGACAACTTTCATGTATTTTGATATACGTTATAGGTTTCATTTAACAATCCGTTATCCCCCTCAGCGAATGGGAATGCGGCCAATAATAGGTCGATTTTCTAGCTCTTAAATTTGGCAGCAGATTTGGACGTTTGTTAATGCATGGCACTGTAGAATTTACCAACTTCAATATACTGAAAGTTATCATTACATACCTGTTGAATAGTGTGGATTTGTCTGTATTTTGCAAGAAAATAGAATATAAAATACATTCCATCCAACTACTCATCTTCCTTTACGTCATAATAGTAATCATTTATTAATTTATGGGTTAATGAATTTCTTCAAAGCAATAAAAACATTATGTCCTCTCCATCCTAAAACACAGACAATATGTGTAAGACGTGTCAATCCCTACATCTCCCTGATGTACTCGTATAATGCAATTACTATGGACATAGACAAAAAATTATGAAAAGTGTTTCACAAATACTGTCTTTTAAGTCCAAAAATCACCAAAACTAGTAATGTTTATTGTTTGTGTTTTAGACTGGCGGTCGTTGACTGGCGGGGATATCTATCTGTCACTAGAGGGTTGCCAAGTCTAACGACGATCACGTCCCGTGGTGGAGGGTGCGAAATGAATCTTTTACATTTGAAGTTTTTACATTTTTTTCCCTGAAAATTTACTAGGTATCATGATTATAAGCATCTTTGGTAGATTGTTCGATCCGGAATGGGAAAGATCTCCCATTTATGAAAATATTTTTGGTATCATCTAACCGTTGCAATCAGTGCACAAACACTGTGACATATGATTTATAGCATAACCCGCTGCCCTATCAATACAAATTTAACATACAGGTCGCCTAGGCGTGAGGATGCAGTGGTCGGGATGAATATCACGGCAGCAACTGATGATTTGGGCATGTCTGATAAGAACCTATGAAGTGAAACTCGCTAACTTCACAAATTTGAAGATTTTGTACAATTCCTTTGAAAATGATGAAAGATATGTCTGATTTGACAGGGTAATGTCGCAGCCAAATGGCAGTCACTCTTTCTGACACAGTCCGGATCGAAAGATGACGATACTCGTGAAATGTATTGATACTTCTTAATACAGTATCCTATCGAACATCCCTACTGTCAAGATGTATAACCCAAGGTACCGACGGAGCTATTTTGCGGCGTCATGGAAATAATTTTAATTTTTCATTTTTTCAAGTGTTGTGCAATGATTTTGGGAAAAATGTCACGAATAGTCTTATAAAGCATAGTAGAGTATATTTCAACAGTTGGCGGAACTTGCTCCACTGGGACCAGGAGGGTGAAACGGGATATTAATGCACAATCTGGCAACCCTGTCGCACCTTCACAAAATGGCCGCTGACAACCACACAAGTCACCGTGTTGTGATTGAATAGCATGGGATTAAACCTTCAGAGTATATATGTTTTGTGACTGCTACCAAGATTTGACAGATCCCACACATGTGTCACTCCTTGCAATGCAATAATCAGCTGTATTCAAATAATGTCTAATATAAATATAACCTAGAATGTGTACTCGTAAAAAAAGAAAAATATGGCAAATTTGTAGTTTTTTTTGCAGGTTTTATAGGTTTGCTGGTAGCTTTAACGTATATATTTGGGAATTTCTTAATCGCTGTGAATATAGTGTGGATGTTTGTTCAGTTCCTGAACAATGAAAAATATTCAACTTTATGGATGTATGGATATCAAAAAACCTGAATGGTTTTGTGGGAATATTAATCTAAGGTGCCATAGTGGTTCTGATGAACGGCAAGTAAATGAATGAATGTTTGGAAACGAGCAATATCTTTTTGTAGAGTCTGTCATCAAGTAGGTGCTTAATGGCTATCTGCAAGAGGTTTATAGGAAAAAACACCCAGTATCACATATCAATTGAAGAAAATAATATAAGCATGAATAAAAAATCAACAATAGTAATTAAACATTTCTTAAAATTTTGACTGAATTATATGTAATTTCTTAATATTCAATAAGCTGGTGATGTTTCAATGACAAGTTGTCATCTCATACTTTGACAGTATTTTGACTTCAACATTTCATAGCTATTGGATACTAAAATTTGTTGATTGGAACTTGAAGCTCATTCGCTGTATCTGATGGTCTGTTACCCTATAGGTGGAGAATAACGGACTGTTGTTGGTGAAATTGGGCCTAAATATTTGATCTTAGCCAACCAGGTATAATCTTGTTTGTATTGCGGACGTAATAGGAATTCATATATCCTAGTGCAAAGCGTTAATTTTACGTCACGGGCGTCAACTGCGCTCTTTATGCTCTAGATACATAAATAACTATTCCGACGAACCATGTGTACACGTAGCTGTAGATCTGGTTGCGAGTACTGGTGAGTAAAAATCCAAAAACTTACCAATTATGACCTTTTATTGCTAGAAATAGACGAGCTAGATAGACAGAAGTAATACGATTCGTGGGAACAGGGCAGATATCAAGCTACCGCTAATATATTACTTAAAGCCTATCTCAAGCAGTAAGAACCATTAATCAATGGTAGTCTCCTGCCCACGTTCTATCTCGCCGGCGCTACTGGTCTCTGTGGTCTAAGTCGGCCGGGGATCAAAGGATTCCATGCTATGGCCGGAACATTGTCGAGCAACTGCTTCAGTCGATTAATGAATAATTACCGCAGTAGGCCGCGACCAACCAGCTCACTGGTAATTAGTTAGAACTGGTGAGTAGGCAGCAGCGACCAAGAAACAGCGACGGACTTTGGAAAAATTCGCAGCCGAGCATCCAGTTGCATAGTTGCAAACGCCACAGCTAATGCATGTCGCATTGCTTTAGTTGAAATATAGGAAAGCCCAGTGACAGCAAATGTGATACTACTCGCTACTTGGGATTCTGAGAATAGTTCCTTAGTAGCTTTTTGAAATAGTTCGAAACGGAAGGAAGGTGTAACGTTGGAGAGCGTGGTACTTCGAAGCATATGTTGAACCGACTGAGGGCCATATCGTCAGTCGTTCCTACAATTGTAGGTCGCCTTTATGGCCTCCTTGATTTTCATAGTTTTGCCTGTCATTCAGAAAGGCGCTCTATTTTGAAGTTATGAAAAAGAAAACATAAGAGAGCGCTGACGCTGATACGGAACAGTAGAAATCTAGAA